CGCCCCCTGCTGTCCACTGCTGGAAGCACACCCGGCTTTGGCGGGGAGGAAATAAAAGCCAAGCCAAGCCCCGCTCCCTTCACAGAGGGCTCTTTGCTGACCAGTCCCCAAAACGCTGGCTCAGAACCCGGCTCTCATGACTGAGGGGTGCCCGGCTTGCTTTCGCTCGCAGCGGGCCTGGCTCTTTCCGCTCCCGCTCCTGGGTCCGCCGAGTCCTTCTCACTCAGAGGCCCTGGGGTCCCACTCACTGGTCATCGCCTTCCGGGTGATTTCCGGTTTGGCCTGTGAAGTGAGTTGAATACTGTCCCCCAGAAATCACGTCCACTCGGAGCCTCAGAATGTGAGCTCGTTTGGAGATAAGGTCTCAGCAGATGCAGTTAGTTGAGGATCGGGAGACGAGATCCCCCTGGATTTAGGGTGAGCCCCAAGTCCAATGACCGACGTCTGTATGAGAGAGGACAGAGCTCGGAGACAACGGAAGAGGTGGTGTGAAGGAGGCGGTGACGAGTCTGTGAAACGGGGAACGCAGAATTGCCACCTGGCGGCCACCAAAAGCCAGGAGAGAGGCTTGCAGCTGGTTCTCCTTCAGAACCTCGGGAAGAGACGACACTGCCAACACCTGGACCTTGGACTCCTGGCCCCCAGCGCTGCGAGACAGTACATTTCTGTCCCTTTAAGCCACTAGTGTGTGGCAGGGCGTTACAGCAGTCCTAGAGATCTAAGGGAAGAGCTGCGGGGTGGGAAGGCTGCAGGCAGGGGCCGGGCGGCCCCGCGAAGCATGAAGGGACTAGGCTTATTCTTAGAGCCACGGAGCCGTGAGGGGACAGGGACACGCAGCGGTCCAGCTGATGTTGTTCGAGGCCACTGCAGGGGGGGTGGGGGCAGGGGAGCCAGTGAGCAGCCCCGCCAGGCGAGGAATGGTGCTGGCAGGGGAGACAGCCCAACGGGGTGGGTTGGGGGCATAGTCTAGAAAGAGAGCGGGTAGGACCAGCTGATGGGTTGGATGCGAGAATCGGCATCTCCCAGATGTTTAGCTTGCGCACCCAGCGGTGGGAGAGGAGGTTTCCCACGAAGGAGAAGCTTCCAGAGGTTCCGGCTCAGAGGGCAGGCCTGAGGAGGATCCTGGAGCCCAGTTCCGGACAGGCGTGGGGGCAGGGGTGGAAATGTCAGGTGGGCACGAAGCCGGGGCTCACTGTGGCTTTGAGTTGCAGCTCCCGAATGACTAACGCCGGTGTGTAGCTTTTCATGTGCTAACCGGGCATTTATATAGCTTCTTTGGAGAAATGTCTGCTTAAGTCCTTTGCCCATTTTTTAATTGGGTTGTTCGTCTTTTAGCTGTTGAGCCATAAGTGTTCACTCTTTATACTGATCTTGCAACACAGAAACACTAAAGCTGAGACTGATTGAGTCACCGCCTAAGGTCTCGGGAGCCAGGCTAGGACTCAGAGCCCCATTGCTCAGCCCACGTCCCACCTCGGCTGCAATTAGATGATTTTTGTGGTTGGAGCTGTTGGCTCATGCTGACCTGCGGGCACCTCGGAAAAGCGATTAGGAAGGAAGAGATGAGGCAGAACGAAGGGGGTCCCCTCTCCTGAAAGGACTTCCCAAGGACAACAGTCCTGGGAAGTGCCTCGTCCTCCTGGAAGGGCTGAATGTTCTGGAAACGGACTCCCAGGTAGGCTGCTCTACTTGTGTGAGAGCAAGGATGTGCCTGTGGCGTGTGCCAGTGTGTTCACACATGTGCACAGGTGTGTGCCTGTCTGTAGATGCCACAGCTGCCAGGACGCGCGTCATCCATGTCCTTTCTGTCTCCCTGTGGCACCCGCCCGCCACTGCGGGAAAGGGCCTGCGGGGAGCACGGCCAGGCAGGGCTGCCACCTGCTGGTCACATTGGGCCCTGCAGGCAGACAGCCTATGCGGGCCTGGCCCCTGGTCTCACCCATCAGCTGCCTAAGGTGGCAGCTTTCGGAGCTCCTAGAAGGAGCCTTTCCTCTGGCCAGAAGAAAGCAGAGTCCTCCGTCGTCCCCGTGTCCCTGAGGGCCTCTCTAGGGAACAGCTACAGGGGCCCCATAGCCTTCTTGGCACCATGAGCCTGTCTCCAGTCGAATCAAACCCTCGGGATAATGTTTTTAAAAGCATAACATAAAATAATAGGATTACAAAGGAAGCCAGTTATATTGAAATACCGATGCCAAAATAGTGATTGTACTATGTCTGCTTAGTGATGCAGGATCGGGTTTGGAGGACTTCCTGTTGGATGGATGGGGGCTGTGACGAACACGGGGAAGTGTATGCGTGTCCTGTGGCCACCGAAACACACCGCAGACTGGGGGCGTAAAATGGTGGAGGTCTATTCTCTCTCAGTCCTAGAGGCCAGCAGTCCGGGATCATTGTTGGGGGTTGAACGGCGTCCCTCCAAAATTCAAACGTTGGCGTCCTCACAGCCAGCCCTACAGGACATGGCCGTAGGTAGGGGTAGCGCCTGGAAAGAGGTGATTGAGTTAAAATAAGGCCCTTAGGGTAGCCCTGGTCCAGTCTGACCAGGGTCCTTATAAAAAGAGGGGCTCAGGACTCAGACATACAGAGGGGAGCTCGTGCGAGGGGCAGGGAGAAGGCAGCTGTGCACACGCCGAGGAGGGGGCCTCGGGAGAAGCCCACCCCGCCGGCACCCTGAGCTCTGACTTCCAGCCTCCAGGACTGTGAGGAAATAAATTTCTGTCGTTTAAGCCGCCCAGGCGGTGGTCTTCGTCCTGGCGGCCCAAGCCGACGGAGACAGGAATACCTCGGACATATTTTGGGTGTTGCGTTCGATTTGTAAAGAATGCAAAATTTGCGAAGCTCAATAAAGCAAAGTACGACGAAACGGGGTTTGTCTGTACCCGAGAATCCGCCCCAGGCCCCTCCCAGCTTCTGGTGGCGGCCGGCTGACCCCTGATGGGAGGGGTCAGAGGAGAGGTTCACGTGACACCATCCGTGTCACACGCCAGGGACACTTTAGTCCGAGGGGCTCCCTCAATGGCTTTGCTCATTCACAGTGGGGTTCCCTGAGCGGCACAGAGGGGGCGAAGTCCACTCCCGCCCGCGTCCGTCTCGGGGCGCATCCGCTGGGTGCTGAGGGCTGGGTGCTGGGCGTGGAAGAGCAGAGGCCGTGAAGAGAACCCGCCACAACCCTCGGAGAAGAAAAAGAGCCTAGGAAGGGTGCAGACCAGAGGTCTGCGACTCAAAGCGTGGTCCCCAGACCAGCAGCGTCAGCGGATGCGGAATCCGTTAGAAACGCAGAGTCACCGGCCCCCCTCAGACGTCCTGAGAGAGACCGTGTCCTTGAACGAGACCTCCCGTGTTTTTCATGTACGTCCACGTTTGAGAAGCCCTGCTGCGGACCAGGGGTTCTCACACTTGAGGCTGCACTGGAAGCCCGGGGCTGGTGGAAGCACAGGTGACCGACCCTCTCCGCAGGTGCCGATTCAGAGGGGGGGCACGGCCCAAGGATCTGCATTTTCAGTAAGTGCCGAGGTACAGCCAACGTCCCCGCTCTGATCTAGGGTGGGCCCAGTGTCAGACTTGGCTGCACGTTGGTCACCCAGGGGCACTCGGACCCTCCTCCACGAGACCCTCATCAGAGTCTGATCAGTCTGAGATGCAGCCCGAGCAGCGGCCCAAGACCCACCGGTGCAAACCACTAGCCAAGGCTGGAGGCCCCAGACGGCAGCTCCACTCAGTCCACGTGGCCAGAGAGCACACCAGGCATGTCCTGCTGTGGCCGAGAACCCCTCAAATGTCCGTGCATGGAAAAAGAAAGAGCCTCGAGCCACCTGGCACAGGCTTGGCTATACGCAGGGCACGCAAGCTTTATTCAGCAGTAATGGCAGTATTTCGTGAGAATGAGCTGCACAGCAGAGGGGACGCTGTTTTCTGCACAAGGTCTGAGCGCAAACGATGACAGCAGCAGAGCTCTGCCCCCACAGCCCTGCCCCCCGCCGAACACCCCTGCACGGTTGGATGGGGCCTCGTCGCGGTCCCCTCTCCACCTACCACCTGCCCTCTCCACCTGCTCCGCCTGTCCCACCTGCCCCAGCCACTGGGCCGGCAGGGAGGAGTGGGCTTGGTTCCCCGCCCTGCCTCTTCCTCTCAAGGCCCCCCTGGGAGCAGCTGGCCGCACGAGGACACCCTCCCCTCCCCTCCCGTCCCCTCCGGGGGAGGCCGGGTCCCCACTGGCTCGACTCCTCTTCTGCGTCAAGGGCTTTTCCTCAGTGGAAGTTAACACCGTCTCAATAAAAAGTGCCATTTATAAAGCACTTTGCACTCACAAAGTATTCACCCTGCCCCCACCCAGCCCCCAGCAGACGGTCAGGAAACAGGATGTCCTTAGAATGGGACCAGGTAGTGACAGCACGCAAAGGGAGGGGCCAGGGCCGGGAGCTATTGGGCCAAGTGCAGAAGGTCGGATTTCATCTTAGTTCTAATTCAGGGTACGTCCCAGCAACCTACTGAACCGATACAGAGGAGAGCGCCTGAGATGCGCGTGACCCGTGTGTGAGACGTGTGTGCACGTGCCCGCTTGTCTCTGTGCATGGCCTTTCGTCATATATCCTTAACTGTTGGTGACCGTCCTCCTAGCTCTCTGACCTGGGCAGGGCAGCCTGGGGAGGGAAGCTCGGCTCCCAGATGGGCAGCAGACACGCCAAATGTGGGAGGACTGTGCAAGGGGCAGCCTGGCACAGCCGTCCAGAGGAGCGACCACGTCAAGTGTGGGGTCCCGCCTGGGGCCTCTTCACAGGCGAGGGGTGGGGCGCGGCTCACTGAGAGGCGTTTACAGCAGCGGCTGGACTGTACAGATGGACGGCTGGCTAAGGGGCGTGACTGAGGGGGCTGGTGGCAGCAGCCAGACTGTACAGATGGACGGCTGGCCAGGACGGATGGCCCTGAACTCGTGAACACACCCTGCTGGGTGGCGTGTACCACCCTGCCCAAAACGTTGAGTCAGCAGTTAGTTGAAGCTGAGACGGGGCCGGGGGCGCCGTTCACACCGTGTACGTTTTGACGGACTTGTAGAAAGGGGGCAGCAGCCCGTGGCTCTCGCGGACGACCTCCAGGTACTCAGAGGGAGTCTCCAGAAAGAAGGGCCGGCAGCACATCTGGCAGCAGCACTTGACCCCGGTGGGGGGCTCCAGGTTCTTGTCAGACATGGGAGAAAAGTCAAAATCAGCCACCTACGGTGAAAACCCCACAGGTGAATCACTGCCCGCTGGGAGCCCCTCCGGTGGCCTCGCGAGCTCAGCGGCTGGTGGTGCAGTGCACAGAAAGAGCTTTCTGGCGCCACACGGCACTTCACCGCGCCCTCGGCTTTTCTGCTCTCGGGGGCTCCCTGTTTTAGTTGCCTTCTCCCTTCCCAGCTCATGGGCACAGCTGCCAGCCAGGGGCGAGCGCGGGAGGGAGGTCGGATGGGAAGAAGCCAACTCCTGGCCTATGGATGCCTCTTCGGCACGTTTCCCCCAGGCCCAGGGCCTTGTGCTGCTGTCCAGACCCCTCCCAGGCCCTCTGTCCTGGCCCCCGTGCCCTCCCACAGACCCTCTCCATCCTCCTCCTCTCGGGGCCCGGCGGTCCGGCCCCTGCCCCCCGAGCACCCACCTCCACCATGTCCTTCTGGTGAGTGGCGTGCCTCAGGGTGAGGTACATGATCAACGCCAGCATCATGGTGATGAGCGTGGCGCAGGGGAAAGCGAAGACAGCTGGCTGCATGCCTAGGAGCGAGAGAAGGCGAGGTCACGGGCCGGGGCAGCTGGCGCTGGACGCCAGCTCTCAGGAGACCGCGGGGGGCGGGGAGAAGCGTCAGAGCCCACGCGGGCCTTTTCCGGAGGCGCACGCGTCCCAACTGGGCAACCCTGCAGGGCCAGCCAGGATCTCACGGAAACCACGCTGGTGCGTGCACGAGCTTTAAAACTCGTCCGCAAGTCCCGCCAGTAACTTCGCGAGGCATGGCTTGCTCCTAGTGAACAGCACACGACATGGGACGCGGCACAGGACCTCCGAGCACATCGCGGCTTCCGCCTTGCTCTCCCTTGGGTGCCCTGCGTCGGGGATGGGAAGCCATGCTGAAAAGACACGCGAGCAGCCCTGTGACCTCTGCCAAAGCCCTTTGCCACCCTCTGGCAGCTCTAGGGCCACTCGCTGACCCTGTCCTCAGGAAGCCGCGCGGCAGAGCAGGAAGGGCCCAGGGTCTGGAGTCAGGCGGTCCTGGGTTCGAATCCTGGCTCCGACCAGGCTACCTAAGGCTAATGCTGACCCACGAGGCTGCCGTGGGCATGCGGCGAGGGGAGGTATAAACGTGCCAGGTGCGTGGCAGGTGATCGGCGAGGGTGAGGTCCCCCCACCCCTCCCCCTCCTCCTACGTTCCCTGCGCACGGGCTCCACCATGTGCCACAAGGACCCGTGTCCCGAGAAAAGGTGGCATTGATTACCTGGAGCGCTGTCTTATCTGCGGAATTCAAGGGGATCACAGGTACTCAGCGCCCAGGAGGTGCTGGGGGAGGCAGGGCCCAAGCCCTCCCTGCCACCCCGAGAGCACCCGCTGTTCACAGAGTCTGCCTGGCCAAGGTCATCCAGGGCCTGGAGTGAAATGTGACGTCTGCACAAGTGTTTAGAGGGACTAGGGAGACTGGAAGGGACAGTGACAACATCTGGTGCCCTTATAGGGCCAACCCTGGGAACAAGTGCAGTTGGGAGAGTGTCTCCTGTTGTACGATACAGGTGGGACCTGGCTGGGCATCTGTCCCTTAGGGTTCTGGGATCCATCTTTCTCTACCTAAGGAAATACTTTTCTGGGGTCACAGAAGAGTCCCCCTGGAAATGAAGGATAGAACCCAATGCCATCATCGGCTCATCCCGTGCCCGTAAGCCAGTGGCTGGGCCTGACGATGGCTGGAGGGTACCCCAGAGGGAGAAGGTTGGGCATCCTTCTGAATGAGAGGGACCGCGATGTACACTTTCTGAGCAGCTCACGCTCTTGGAGACCCACCCCCAACGCCCCCAGCCCTGTGCATCCGGCAGTCACTGCTGGGGATGCCGGTTT